CTCATCTCTCCAATGCCTAGTATGTCAATATTTATGCGTTCCATTTCTTTCTTAACAATTTCTAATTTTCCTACATTCATGGTTCTCAAATTCCATGTTCCAGTCACTAGTGTCTGCTTACAACTGTTCCTCTTCCTTTGTATTTCCATACTTGAAAGTTCTACCTAGGTTGCCCTTTCTATTAGTTTATGTGTGTTCTGTTGTACATAAGGTTTTCAGAGGCCTGCTATTTCAGAAGTGGATGGCCAATCGACGCTGGGCAGAACCAGGAGCCTGGAAGCTGCACGGGCAGAAGTTGAGGCCAGGCAATAGAGAAGTGACTAGAGGCAAAAGCTTCTGACACGCCCACAGGTACAAAGCACCGAGGCGGAGCCAAAATTGGTTGGGAGGTGCAGAGGGGAGACTGAGGGACACACCGCTGGGCAGAACCGGGAGCCTGTGGCCCTCAGGCTAAGAAGAAGAAAAATACAATCTATACAGGAGTTCTACAGGACACATCACCTTCCCTTCGGAGACAGTACAACTAAACTTAAGAGACACTCGACACAGCATAAAAAATTGTCAGCAGTTGACATGTTCGGAATCACAGAAGCCAAGAAAGCTTCAGATTCAAGCTGTCAGATCATGGGTTGGACAATGGAAGATAGATTCTGAAGGGATTTGGTAGAAGTGAAAGGGTATCCTGGTGGAGGGTGGAGCTGGGAAATAAGTGGGTCAAGGCACTGGGCTAAGGGCAGGGACAACACTGTAACTAATGGTTAACTCCACAATGAGGGATTTATCTTTTACTGCTCCACAAATTGCTTGTCTGTCAGATACTCCTCTAAATCTAAATACTGATCTAAATATAGGTTTTGCATAAGCACAATCAAGTGTTCTGGGATTCCCATTTTCCTCAAGGTTAGCCATAATTTATTGTGATCCACACAGTCAAATGCCATGTGCACAGTCACCATTTATTTTTTGTATTTTACCCTTATATTTTAATATTTTATATTTTTTATAAAAGACATTTGTAAGTCATTGGTTATACAAGATTCTATCATGCATGTGATCTGTGGTCTCTTTTCTGTTACAAAGACTTTGGTGGCCTCATGGGTAAGGAATTCCAGTGCCAACTCAAAGGCAGGCAGTTAAAACCCACCAGCTGCTCCTTGGGCGAAGGAGGGACACTCTCCTGCTATTTACAGCCTCTGAAGACCCACTGGAAGGTCAGCTGTGGTTAGGTTCTGATGCCATGGCAATGAGTGAGTGAATTCTTTTCTGTTTCCTTCTTGCTTGCATTCCAGTCACCAGTTATTATTATTATTAATGCATCTTGACTGCATGTTCCATCAATTTCACATTGCAGACGTTGGTTGTTGTTGTTGGAGTACAGTTCATAGCAACTCTATGAACAACCGATCTGAACACTGTCCTATCCTGAGCCACCTCACGATCTCTGACACACTCGAGCCCATGTCAGAGTGACCACGTCAATGCATCTGCTTGAGGATCTTCCTCTTCCACCGGCCTTCCGCCTTACCAAGCATGCCATCCCTTTCCAAAGAGTAACCTCTCCCCGCAGCATGCCTGATCCTCAATTTCTTCATCCTTGACTCTAGTGATTGGTGTATGTAAGTGAATAATCATATTAACAGGTCTTCCTTGTGTGTGTGTGGATATCACTCTACCAATGACAGCATTGCATTCCAGGACAGCTCTTGAAATGTTCTTTTTGACAATGAATATGACACCATGCCTTTTCACTTTTTCATTCTCAGCACAGTAAGTCATTTGATTACAGGTTCAAAATGGCCATGGCAGTTCACTAATGCTTACCATATCCCTCTCCTGGTGCATTGTTTCATTTTTCTACCACTGCCTGTTTTCCACATTTCAATTTTTAATGGATGTTTCCAGATGTTTCTCCTCATTTTGAGTCTTGCCACGTGACCGATGAAGGTCCTTTATCGGGTGAGAACTTCACTCTATCCGTGTCCCTCTACTTTGAGGAGGCACCACTTTCCTGGTGATATTTTTAATGTCTTCTTACCTGAGGGACTCACCTGGTGCTTTACTGGACCATATTCTGCTGCTATTCAGAGGGCTCCCACGGTCCCGTTGTTTCAGAAGTGGATGGCCAGACCCGCTCCTTAGTCGGGAAGCTCTGCTGGAATCCACCTTTTGTCTTAGGAGAGATAGAAAGTGAGAGAAGTGAGCAGAGACCAGGTCATCAAAGTATCACCAAGAAAGAACTACCAGGTGGGACCCTGTGCTGGGGGGTCACCTGTGAGTGGGGGAATCTGTGAGGAACGTGGGACCCTGTGCTGAGGGGGGGTCTCCTGTGAGGGAGATCTGCGGGGAACGTGAGAGCCTGTGCTGAGGATCTCCTGTGAGTGGGTTAGTCTGCGAGGAACGTGGGACCCTGTGCTGGGGTCTCCTGTGAGTGGGGGAGTCTGCGAGGATCGTGGGACCCTGTGCTGGGGGTCTCCTGTGAGTGGGGGAGTCTGCGAGGATCGTGGGACCTTGTGCTGAGGGTCTCCTGTGAGGGAGATCTGCGGGGAATGCCGGCCTGTGGATGCTCATGGAGCCAAGGCTTTTCCTCCAGAGTGGCCAGACAGGGAGGACTCCTCCGCCTCAGGCCCATGCGCTGAGTTTGTATCTCTAGCCTTTTGAACAGTTCAAGAATAAGTTTCTGTTTGTTGAAGCCATCGGCTCATGGTGCCTCTGCTGTAACAGCGCTAGAGAGCTAAGGAGAGTGGGTGCGTGGGAAGGAGGGCTGGCTGTGTGGATTGTTGCTGAGGAGGTAGGTGTGTGGGTGCACGGCTGGATTTCACAGAGGACCACGGGGTGGGAGGAGGCCACGTGTCAGTGAAGGGTGGGGTACTGTCCCTGTAATACCCTCCCATAAATGAGACCATCTTCAGGATTAAATAAAGCATTCTAGGCCCTCCTCCTTCCCTTGTTGTTATTGTTAAGTTCCATCGAGTCCAACACAACTCATAGCGGCCCGATGAACAGAAGATCTGAACCCTGTTCTGTACTACACCATCTTTACACACTTCCTGACACACAAGAGCCCACGGCAGCTGGCACTCTATCAGTAACCTGGTTGAGGCTCTTCCTCTCCTTCCCCAACCCTCTACCCTTCCCAGCATCATGTCCCTCTCCAAGGAAAAGCACCTCCTAGCAATATGTCCAAAGTATGTGAGGTGAAACCTCATCATTCTTGCCTCCAAAGAGCACTCTGGCTGCACCCTCTTCAAGACAATATCTCCTTATTTTCTTGGCTGTCCATGGGATGTTCAGTGCTTTTCTCCAACACCACAGCTCAAAGGCATCAATTCTTTTTCTGTCATCCTTATTCATTGTCCAGGTCTCGGATGCATAGCTAGTAATGTGAAAGACCATGGCCTGAATCAGATGCACTTTCTTCCTCAAGTTGCTCCTTCCCTTAGCTCTGGTTTTTGCTCTTTAGAGGGTCAGATGAAGGAGAAGTAGCCAATCTACTGAGCTCCCACTGTACGCCAGGCACTGAGCTGGTCATTTCGACAGATGCTGTCTTCTTTAGTGCCAATATCACAACAATTTTTTTGGAAGTAGGTTCTCTTAACCCCATTTCACAAGTAACTAAGTAAGTTGTCCTAGGCCATGCACCTTAGGTCAGTGTTCAAAGGTGCCCAAGAAGACAGGGCTGATGAGGTGACACCCAGAGGAGCGTGGCAGTGGAGGTGGGCAGGGACTCAGTCTGCTCTGGACACAGGAGTTCTTTGTTCCCGGTCCGGCGTGGCCTCTGTCCTACTGGACACTCTGGGTAAGACCTTACAGCCCAGCCGGGCCTCAGTGTCCCTGTGTGAACTTGAACAAGGTGGGAACCGAGGCAGCTGTGAATGGGCTGCCCTCACACAGTGACTTCTAGCTTCAGGATGACTTCCCTTCCATTGCTGCTGAGGGTCAAAAGGCAACGCCACCCACAAGATAATGATTAATGAGACTGGCACCCCATTTATAAGGAGCCCCAACCCGAGCCACTCCATTAACTGAGACACCATAGAATGAAGTGGCCGTTGTTGGTACTGGGGGGTGTTGCCCTCTTGGGGCTGGGGCTTATCCTGGGCCACTTTGGCATCCCCAAAGAGGCTGCCTCGCCAGTGGTTCAAGGCCAGGACCAGGATCTGGACCTGAAGATCCTGGACTCTGTCATAAGACAGCTAGAGGCCAGCAGGATCCGGGAGAACCTAAGGTGAGAGGCGTGCCCACCTGCCCACCCCCGACCCTGTGAGCCGAGGCCCCTCCCTGACACTGTCCTGCCCTCTTCCCACCCGCAGGGAACTGGCCAGGGAGCCACACCTGGCGACCACCCCACGGGACGAGGCCCTCGTGCAGCTGCTGCTGCAGCGCTGGAGGGACCCAGAGTCAGGCCTGGACGCGGCCGAGGCCCCCACATACGAGGTGCTGCTGTCCTTCCCCAGCCAGGAGCAGCCCAACCGCGTGACTGTGGGTGAGGCCCTGCCCAGGCTGGGCACAGCCTGCGGGGTGGTGGGGCCTCCGGCCAGCCCTGACACTGTGTCCCCCACAGTGAATGCTTCCTCTGGGGACGTCCTCTTCACCTGCCGCCAGAGCGAGGAAAACCTGACCGGAGAGCAGGCGGGGCCGGATGTGGTGCCCCCTTATGCTGCCTACGCTCCCCCCGGGACCCCGCAGGTGGGCTAGGGCACCCTCTCCCTTCCTCCAGGGCCCCCCTCGGCCTGGCACCTCCCAGAGCGGCTCCACACTCTGCCCCACCTGGGGCTCCGTATTCAGAATGACTCAGTTAGCCACACTCACTCCTCCTTTTGTCCATCACATAGTCAGTCGGCAAACACTAAAGGCTCCTCCTCAAGGCTGGGCTTGCTACCGGACCTGGACACAGAAATCTACTGGGACTGCACCCTCAGGGAGCGCACGCGTTTGGGGGCGGGGGGTGGGGGGTGTTAGTATCTACGCCCTGCATGCTATCGCCCAGCCTTCCCTCTCTTCCCCCACCCTACTCTTGCCAAGCCCCACCATGAAGATCACCTCCTCTTGGGCCCAGGGTCCCCTCGTCTACGCCAACCACGGCTCAAAAGAAGACTTTGAGGAGCTGCAGGCTCGGGGCATCCAGCTCAACGGCACCATCGCCCTGACCCGCTACGGGGGAGTAGGGCGGGTGAACAAGGTGAGCATTAGCCCCCAGGGTGGGGGTTCCGGGTGGGGGGAGAGACTGGCCATGCGAGGAGAGGAGGATGAACAGTACTGAGCGGTGGGCTTCATCCTAGACTGGGGACTAGGAAGCGGGCGCACAAAAGCTGAGCTCGGGGTCCCTGATTGGCACAAACAGGTGCTTGATTACTATCTAACTGTAAGGCTAGTGGTTCAGGTTCACCCAGAGGAGCCCTGGAAGAAAGGCCTGGTGAGCTGAAAAGCCAACCACTGAAAATCCTCAGTGCAGGTCTGCTCTACACGTATGGGGCCATGTAAGCAGGAATCAACTCAGTGACCCCTGGTCTTCCTGTTACGTCACCACTTGCTGTGTGGCTCATATGCTTTCCCTAACTTCTCTGAGCTCTGGCGAAATAAGGGGATGGGCTCAGTCTTCTTGAGAAGCAGTCTTTTGAGATGTTCAGCTTAAATCTCCTCTGCTGCCCCCTTCCCTTTGTTTTTCAATTAACATTTTTAATTACCTGATGATGGTTCCAAGGGATTTTGTTAACATGAAAAGGTATGTTGCTATTAAGTGATGTGGAATTGATTCCAACCCATTACGACCCCATGTGACAGAGTAAAAATGCCCCAGAGAGTTTTATTATTATTTTTTTCTAAGTGGAAAAAGCAGATTTATGATACACCTGTATATAGGAGACAGGGGCCAAGAGGTTCCTGGATCTGTCTCCCTGTCTTGGACTGTGGGGGCTTAGGGGAGAGAGAGGACAGTGGTGTATAAGAAGTTTTTACAGTATTCTTGCAGTAAGGAGTTTTGATCAGTGGTCATGTCCTAGACCACTTGTTCTGGTTTTATGAATACTGCAGAGGCGGTTGGCTCTGGAGGAAGGGCCTTGCCTCTTCAGCCTCTGCTTGCTGATTCCTCGGAGGGCTCCACGTGTCTGCATCTCTCTTCTCCGATCTCTCCTTTTAACTTGCTTGTTTAGTCTCTTTTCTATCTTACAAAAGAACTCAAGCTACACTGCAATCCCAGAGGTAAGCAGTTCGATTCCATCAGATGCTCTGCTGGAGAAGGAGGGGCAATCTCTTCCTTTATCAGTCAGATCTGATTTGACAGTATACACACACACAAATAATAAAATTAAAAAAAAACACACACCCAAAATACCTCAACTCAAAATTCAGCCTCGGGCTGCAACTGACTTCCAATTGGCCCTTAGCTAGCGGGTTTTTAGAGGCTGTAAATGACTTGGAGGAGATTGCCCACCTTTCTCTCCTGGAGCCGCCCATGATTCAAACAGCCAGGCAGGGACCACCCTTGGATTAGCAGTTCAACCCTATGCAGCTGAACTTCTCAAAAGAGATTGCCCCAAAATCCTACCTCCTTAGCAAAGACAAAATCCCCGCAAAACAGCCACAAAAAACCCCCAAACAAAATCAAAGACAGCCTATCCCCAAACATGATTGTAACCACAAGCATATAAATTCAGAATCTGTAACTCTTACTTTGGAATGACATAATTAAATCAATAACTTCTACCTTTCACCCTCCAAAACTCACGTCCCTGCCACATGCAAAACCCAGGCATCTCATCACAGCATCCTCAAAGTCTTAAATCAACTCTAAGCCTCAAATTTCATCTTCTGAATCATCTAAATCAAATTCAGGTGGGACTTTATCAGTATTTTTCCATCCGGGGGCAAAGTTCCTTTTCATTTGTGACCGTGAGGAAAGGAAAAGTATAGAATTAAAAAAACTCTTTCTCTGTTTGAGATTTTCCAAACGGGTAACAACTTTTATTACCCAGATGGAGAAGCACATACAAATAGTCTTGTTTCTTCCTCCTTTTGACCTAAGTGCTGGCTACTAGGACCCATTGTTCTGAGCCAGACCTTTTCACCCTAATGCAGCCTGGCAGGCTTCAGGGTCAGTGCATGTGAACCTGGGAGTCCTGGCCTTTTCTGCCTCCACTGCTGGGCGCTGTCCATGGTCTGTTCATCCAGCTGACCACATCTGTCTTCTTTCTGCACTTTGCATTGCAAGCCGGACGTTCAAACACCGTTTCTCCTGGGAGGATATAGCTGTCCCTAGCAGGGAGGAGGAGGAGGATGGGAAAGGCCCCTCATTCCTGACTTCCTTTGCTCTCTGCAGGCTATTAATGCCGCCAAACATGGGGTGATTGGGGTGCTGGTGTATACAGACCCTGCTGACATCAATGACGGCCAGAGCTTGCCCAGCGAGACCTTCCCCAACTCGTGGGGACTGCCTCCCTCAGGAGTGGAGCGAGGCTCTTACCATGAGTATTTTGGGGACCCCTTGACTCCCTACCTCCCAGCCACCCACTCCTCCTTCCGTCTCGACCCTGCCTCTGCCACTGGATTCCCCCCAGTTCCTACCCAGCCCATTGGCTTTGAGGATGCGAAAGTCCTGCTCTGGTGAGCTTGTGCCCTGGGGTCCCCTCCTGCCTTCTTAGTGGACTCCATATTTTAACACCTACCCACTCTGAATCGCCTCCCTGCTCCCCAGTAACCTTCAGGGACAGATAGCTCCCAATGCCTGGAAGGGGGCCCTGGGCTGTGAATACAGATTGGGGAGTGGCTTCCGGTCTGATGGGGAGTTTGGAGCGAGCAGGTGAGTGGGGTACAGTGGAAACCCCCTTTTCTTTCCTCATGACTCCCACACCCACATTCTGGGCTTTCCCTTAAGCGTGGCCTTGCTTCTTTTCCAACCTCTCCTGGGCAAACATGTCAGTGAAACACATACAGGGCCCACAAGGGATCCCCTCTCTGTCCCTCCTCATCCCGTCTCAGACTCCCACAATCCAGTCTGCTTCCACCTTTCTTGAACACATACGCTCAGTACCAAGTCAGACCCTCCTTCACTGCGTCCCTGCAGTGACCCCTGGTGGCCAGGGTCGCCTTGCACAGCCTAGGTCCGCACTTACAGACTTAACCTGTCCATAGCAGTCTTGTCCTTTGTCCCGAAGAAGCTAGTATGGCAGTTGCTTCTTGTTGTTGTTGTTGTTGTGTACTGTTGAGTAGGAACCAACCCATAGCAGACCCTCCAGTAAATCACATGGGAGGAGATTGCCCATCTTGCTCCCTCAGAGGAGCTGGTGGATTCAAACTGCATACCTTTGAGTTGGCAGTGTAATGCCTTGCCACCAAGCCAAATGCATACACAAAGTGCTCAATAAGTATTCCCAGGGTGAATGAGAGAATAAAGAGCAGAGCTGGAACCCGAGGCTCCGGGTTCGAGGCTGGCCACTCCTGGCCCTCGCTGGGCTGTTTGCCCTGAGTTGAGTGGGGGGGGGGGTGCGGCTCCAAGACTCTGGTCCCCATGTGCACCCACCTGCACTTCCCCAGCCAGGTGAACGTGAGCGTGCACAACCGCCTGGAGCTGCGGAACTCCTCCAACGTGCTGGGGATCATCCGGGGGGCAGTGGAGCCCGGTGAGCCCCTTACTGCACACCCTTTGCCCCCTCCACCCCTCCTTCCTGGCTGCTGATACTCCCCCCCATCTCACCTCCAGACCGCTATGTTCTCTATGGGAACCACCGTGACAGCTGGGTGCACGGGGCCGTGGACCCCAGCAGCGGCACCGCAGTCCTCCTGGAGCTCTCCCGCGTCCTGGGCACCCTGCTGAAGAAGGGTGAGCCTCTCCCCCAGTCAGGGCCTACCCCAGGGGGCACTTCTGGCCAGGTCCTTCTAAGCCCCTGGGTGTTCTATCCATGTCAGTTCTTTAGTGCTTGCTTGTGACCAAGGGAAAGCCAGCTCTGGCCTGAGTGGCCCTTGTGGGACAGTGAATGAACTGACCTAGGTGCCTCTGCCTTCAGCGGACTGCAGACCGGCTGGGGATGCTGATCTCTGCAAATGTCTCACGTGGCACTGTGTGCTAGGCCAGTTCAAGGCACCAGGGACACGACGGTGACAATCTGTGTGGTAGGAAAAAATATCCAAGGTGCTGGTGGCCTCAGGGATGGCCTCCGAGGAAAGAGTTGAGCTTCAGGAAGGGCCTGGAGGAGAAGGCTCTGCTGTGGGAAGGAGGCCAGGGTGTTGGGACAAGCAGATGGGACAGGCCATGGGGCCTGGTGTCCTGCTGTGGAGTGTGGAGTTTTCCCTGAGGACAGTGTGACATCAGCTAGATCAGTTTTCTTTTGCAGTTTAACAAATGACCAGACATTAAGTGTCTTCAAACAATAAAAGTTTATTATCTTACAGCCACTCAGGTTAGGGGTACATGAGTTTCAGTGCACTGAAATCAAGGTGTCAGCAGGGCCGCATGAAGCTCTGGGGAAACTGGCTCCTGAGCCTTTTCTAGCTTCCAGAATTCGCCCACCTTCCTCCGCTGGTGGCATCCCAGCACCCTCCTCAGAGCCAGCGCTGTGGCATTCTTCTATGTTTTCTTCTAACTTCCTAAAATCTCTTTGTTACATTATAGGGAGTTCTGGTGGCCTAGTGGTTAGGAGGGTGCACTGCCAGCCCAAAGGCAGGTGGTCTGAATCCGCAGCTGCTCTGCAGGACAAAGATGGCCATTCTTCTCTGGTGCAAGTAACAGCTTCTGAAAGCCCGCTGGAGGCTCGGCGAGTTGGTTCTGACTCAATGACACATAACAACAATAACAGCAGTTACACCGGAGGAGCCCTAATGGGACAGTGGGTTATGTGCTGGGACTGCTAGCTGAACGGGTTGGCAGTTTGAATCCACCAGCCACTGTAAGGGGGTACGGTGAGGCGGTCCACTTCTGTTAAGATTTACGGCCTCCGAAACCTGATGGAGCGTCACTGTGACCCAGAATTGGGTCGATGGCAGTTGTCTGAGTGCACTGGGGAGCCTGGTGGCACGTGGCTAAAGTGCTCGGCTGCTAACTGAAAGGTCACTGCTTGGAACTTGCACACTGCTCCACGGGAGAGAGGTGTAGCTGTCTGCTGCCTGAGAGATGTACAGCCCACGAAGCCGGGGAGATGGTCTTTCAGGGTCTCTGTGAGTTGGAATGGACTCTGTGGCAATGACTTTTGTTTTTAATTACATTGGGACTTACCTGGATGATTCAAAATAATCTTTAAATCAGCTGATTAGTAAATTTAGTCCTATCTCCAGACTCAGGGCCCTTTGCCATGCTGTTTAGTGAGGTTCCAGGGATTAAGACGAAGACGCCCTTGGGAGGAAGCATTTTCCTGCCAGCTCAGGGTTTTATCAGGAGAGACAAAAATCAAGCCCACATTGTCAGTTACTGCCAAGGGGAGAAGAGGGTGGAGAGGCAGGACTGTGTGGCAGGACCAGGTAGAAGTTATTCCCATTGTCAGGTCAGGAGGGACTGGGGGGCTTATACTGGGCTGTGGACGGTGGGAAGGGATCTGAGTGGCCTTGGCATCTGTGGTTGTGAAGCAAGAATGAGCGTAGGGCTTGTGGGTTTCTCATTTTGGAGATTGGGTGAAGCGGCTGGACTCTGTAAAATGGGCGCTCTTGTTTTGGTTGAGGGTTGGTGTGGAATGTTTGGTGGTTTTTTTATTTAAGTCTCTTGTTTATAATAAACAAGACTTCTGGTTGGACCTCCTTGTATTTAAAAGTGTTATTATATTTTGGAGGAACATTCTTTTTTTTAGTAATATTTTTAATGCAACATCTATCTTTTTTACAGCATATTCTTTCCATTTAATTTTCCCCATTTAATTTTCCCCATTCATTCATTGTTGCACATTTTCCTCCCTTCCCACCCCTCCCCCCAGTTCATTTTTCTCTTTGTAGAAAAAAATTATTTCATTGTTATACAATCCCCCTAGTCTACAGTCCACTTTAATATGTATTTTTCTGTAATCTTGTCATGAAAATAATACCTAATCCTATATTCCTTTTAAACAGTTCTCTCCCTCATCTATTACAATGCAGCATACATTATTATCCCCTCTTTTCTTAGGTTCCTTCCAACCCCAATGTCAGTCCCATTTTACAACAGTATTTGTCCTTTTGTGACTGAGATATTTCACTCAGCATAATGTCCTCAAGGGTCACCCATTTTGTATAATATTTCATGAGTTCTTTGTTTTCCAATGCAGCATAGTATTCCACTGTGTGAATATACCACAGCTTCTCTATCCATTTGTTTATTGATGGGCATTTGGGTTGTTTCCAACTCTTTGCTATTGTGAACAAAGCCTCAATAAACATGGCTGTGCATATATCTGCTTGGGTGGTGGGTATTGTTACTTTAGAGTATATTCCCAGTAGTGGAATTGCTGGGTCAAATGGCATTTCGAGTTCCAACTTTTTGGGAAAACACCATACTGCCTTCTACAGTGGTTGCACCATTTTACACTCCCACCAACAGTGAATAAGGGTTCCAGTTTCTCCACAACCTCACCAGCATTTGATGTTTGCTGCCCTGTTGAATTTTGCTATTCTGACTGGGGTGAGATGGTATCTCATAGTTGTTTTGATTTGCGTCTCTTTTAGAGTTAGGGATTTTGAACATTTTTTCATGTGTTTGAGGAACATTCTTCTACGTTGTACAGCACTCTTTTGTCAATTTGCTGTACTGAGGTAATCTTGGTTTGCTGTGATGCTGAACCTTGTGCCATTGGGGTGTCAAATGCCATAATGGCTGTCCATCGTGGACAGTGTTTGGTGGAGCTCCAAGTTTAAGACAGGCTTTGAAGCAGGAGTGGCATCCACTTCCTCAACCACATGCCTCTGGAAACTTTATGAACTTGGAGAAACAATGTTATATTTGGGTCTTTTGTTCATAGGTCGTGATGAGTCGTGCTTGACTCGATATCAATCAACAACAAGAAGTCTGCAGTTTGGTATATGGAGGCGCTGTTTATGAGAAATAATATGGGGTTGGTGAGGACAGGTGGGAGAAGAGCATGAATTTGGTTTTTCTGTGTATTGGTTTTGAAGTGCAAGAGAGGCTCCAGGTCAGGAAAGAGATTTGAGATATAACCAAGGGAGTTGAGATGGTCCATGAAACCACAGCTGTGGCTGAGATTCACGCAGAGGGTCCCAGTGGGTGGGCTAGGCAGGGAGGGCTGGCCTTTGGAATTTACCATTGGTTGCAATTATTTGCTATGCATCAGAAAGCTGGACCATGACTAGGGATGATAGAAGGAAAATTCATGCCTTTGAGCTGTGGGGCTGGAAAAGAGTATTGAATAATATATGGACTGCTAGGAAAACAAATAGGTTCATCCTAGAGAGGGTGTTCCTTGGAGGCAAGGATTCTGAAGCTTCATCTGACATACTGTAGACGTGTTGCAAGGAGGGATCAGTCCTTGGAGAAGGATGTCGTGCTTGGGAGGGTGGAGGGACAGCACAGGAGAGGAAGACCCTTGATAAAGTGGATTGATTCAGTGACTGGGGTAATAGGGATAGATGTGTCAGAGACAATAAGATTGGCACAGGATAGAACAGGGTTTAAGGCTGTTGGACATAGGGTCACTATGAGTAGCAGGCAACTAGACAGCACATAACAACTACAGTGATGGAATTTCTTTATTTTTGTTTTATAGTTTCACAGTTAGCAAAGAGCTGCAAAACAATACAATACTCTACATATACCTTTCCTCTAGATGCTCTGAATACTAGTTTACCATATTTGCCTTTTATCTCTCTAAATATTTCTAAAATATTTAAAAGATGCAGAAAAGCTGCCCTCTTATCCCTAAACACATCGCTGTAAATGTCTTTAAAACAAGAACATTCTTTTTTCGCAACCATCATATAATGATCAGTCAGTAAACTGACCATTTTGCCATTGTTCCTGTGATGATCTCTGTTGTTCCTGTGTGCTGTCTAGTCGGAACTGACCCAAAGTTGACTCTGCAGCGGGTTTTCAGAGACAGTAAATCACACGTGAAAGACAGCCCCTCCTTTCCTGGAGAGCATTTGGTGAATTCAAACCGAGTGCCTTTGAAATTGCAGCACAGCTTCTTACCATTAGGCCACCAGAGCTCCCTATGATGATCTCTACAGCAATGGGGAGCTCTAGCAGCACAGTTGTAAGAAGCTGCATTGCAACCCCAATGGTAACAGGTTCGGATCCACCAGCTGCTCTGCAATCTCCTCCCATTCACTGAGGGGTCTTCTATGAGTCCGTTCTGACATTGAGGCACATGACAACAATAACAACATAACAACGGGCAGAAAAAAATATTCTGGCCCAGGATCCAATGCAGGACCACATTGCACTTCTCGGCCCTCTCCTTCATCCACAGTCCCTTTCCCTCCGAAGTCCCCTTCCAGCTTTAGCTGCTTTTTTTCACAGTCCTGACTGTATTCTGCAGACTGTCCCTTGATTTGACTTTTTTTTTTTTAAATTTGACTTTATTTGAGGCTTCTGTGATTCGATTCATGTTTTGACTCTTTGGCAGGAATAAATGTGAGGATTTGTAATTGCGAGTATGCAACTGCCTAATAATTTTAAAACTAATGATTTAAAATGAAAGCATGAGGAAGGTCAAGGGGACTGAATTGTAGCCAGAAGTGAGAGCAAAGTAGAAGCACCCAGGATGGAGGGCGAAGGGGTCTGGACAGAGGGGAGCCAGCGGACTGAGCTGTGAGAGATCAAGCCACAGTCCACTGGAGCAGCGTGAGCACAGAGGCTGCAGGACTGGCAGTGTGGGCCAGGGTTTGGAAAGGATAACCCGGAGGTGAGAGCCGGCTCTGCGGCTGACCAGCTGTGTAACACTGGACAAGACATTTCACTTGGCCCAGTTCCCTCAAGTGTAAAGTGGAGACAAGAGCAGTGCCTCTCTGCAGGGATATGCTGAGACGAGGCCCTGAGGAGGCTGTTAACCGTCTTAACACCTCGTGGAAGCTGAGGGTGACTTTGCCCAGGTTGCATGAGAGAAGTGAGGTGGTGGTGGGGGTCAGTGGTTTTCCCCAAGCGTAGGGACAGAGAAGGGAGGCAGAACATTGTGCATAATAGACCACTTGGCCAAGGGAAGCTGGTGTTTGGGGGTGTGTGTGTGTGTGTGTGTGTATTCCCACTAAGGCACCCCACAATTGGAGAACCTTACCCTCCAACTCCTCATTCTTCTCTAGGCACCTGGCGACCCCGCAGATCAATCGTGTTTGCCAGCTGGGGGGCTGAGGAGTTCGGGCTTATTGGCTCCACAGAATTCACAGAGGTAAGTGCAGTAGGGGGGTTGAGGGGCCTCCCAGGGTGAGGAACCCCAGCTGACTCAGCTGCTTCTCTTCCAGGAATTTTCCAGCAAGCTGCAGGAGCGCACCGTGGCCTACATCAACGTGGACATCGCGGTGTTTGGTATGGAGTGTTTGGTATGGCGTGTTCGGTATGGCGTGTTCGGTATGGCGTGTTCGGTATGGCGTGTTCGGTATGGCGTGTTCGGTATGGCGTGTTCGGTATGGTGTGTTTGGTATGGTGTGTTTGGTATGGCAGGCGTGTGCGAGTGAGTGCTGGGCGAGCGTGCAGTCTGAACAACCTCCCTCTGCTCTGCCCGCAGCCAACGCCTCCCTGAGGGTGCAGGGGACGCCTCCAGTCCAGAGTGTCGTCTTCTCTTCCACTAAACAGGTGGGAAGGGAAGGGGCTAGAGGCAGGGCGGATGGATGGTTAGCTACGTGATTAGGTTTCAAAGGCCAGATTGTCAGGTGAGAATTATCAGTTTGCAAAAATGGAGTTTGAATAAGAACCCATTTGACCTTTGTGACTAATACTCACTCAGTACCTTATTGTCATGTGTTGTTAAGTCAGAGCTAGCCCATAGCTGACCCTCCAGCAGGTTTTCAGAGGCCATAAAGAGCAGGGAGGAGATTTCCCATCTCCCATCCTTCTGCAGCGGAGCTGCTGGTGGACTTGAACCTTGTGCCTTTGGGATTGCAGTGCAGCTTCTCTCCACTAGGCCACCTGAGGTCCCTTACATCACTATGTTGTTGTTGTTGATTGCCTTCAAGTTGAGCACGACTCACAGTGACCCTATGAACAAAAGGCCTGAAGCCCCTCTACAGCCGTCAACATTTATCAAAGTTCATAGAGTTTCTGGAGGCATGTTATTTAGGAAGTGGATGCCATTCCTGCTTCCAAATATAACTACCAAATGACAATACTGCGTGCCTGTCAAACGGCTGAGGGGCCCGGCCCAGCCAACTAGACACATCGTCTTACACTGACTGCAAGTTTGTTGATGTAAGACAGATATTCTCAATGAGCAAAACAGTAGGTTTTCCACCGTTGTCATGTGAACTGTGGGATAATGCGATGGTCAGTATGTGAGGGGTAGGTATAGTAAGGCGACCTGGTGGCACAGAGGTTAAACACTTGGTGGCTAACACAAAGGCTGGGGGTTGCTCCCCACCAGCTGCTCTGTGGGAGAGAATATGGCGGCCTTGGAACCGCTGTGGGTTTCTACTCTACCTTTAAAGTGTTGCTGAGTCAGAATCCACTCCAGTAATGGCTGTGGACTCAAGAGTGGGCTGGAGACTCGGGTGGAGTGGGCCTCACCATGGAGGCTGAGGCTGGGCTCTACTCTGGCCAGATCCCTGCCCCAGGCCCTGGAGGCCTCAGCGTTTATGATAACTGGATTCGGTACTTCAACCGCAGCAGCTCGGTGTATGGCCTGGTTCCCAGGTGAGCCCCAGGCTGTGCAGGGGGCGAGGGTGAGCCTCCACCTCACTCTCTCCAACCAGGCCCGCTTCCTTCCCGCAGCCTGGGCACGCTGGGTGCTGGCAGTGACTACGCGCCCTTCCTCCACTTCCTGGGCATCTCCTCCATGGACATCGCCTACACCTATGACCGGGTGAGTGGGCCCTCTCGGCCCCCTGCCTTCGAGAGCCCACCCCTCCTCCAGCGGCTCTGATGCAGACTGAACCTGGCTCCTTGGCTCAGCAGCTGTTACCTCAGCCAAGTTTCTTCCCCTCTCTGAGCCTGTATGTCCATCTATGTTATTTTATGGAGCGAGCACTGGTGGTAAGTTGCACTGTCATTTTGTGCACCATTCTCCTTTCTTTGAAAATCTGGTGGCCTGGTGGATAAGGTGTTACACAGCCAACCCAAAGGCAAGCGGTTTGAATCCACCAGCTGCTCCATGAGCGAATGACGGGCATTTTCTGACAACTCATCGGAGGGGCAGTATGACTTGATGGCACCTACCAGTAATTCTGAAAAAAAAGGCTGCCAGTTACTTGCAGGGTGACACTGACTGCGAGATCCTGATTTCAGAGCTCTTTACATGTGTAAAGTTCACCTGAGATCCTCTTACTTGCAGGGTAACACTGACTGCGAGATCCTGATTTCAGAGCTCTTTACATGTGTAAAGTGCACCTGAGATCCTCACGGTGTAGAATGCATGGCCTTGGGGCTGGGGAGGGTGAGCGGCAGAGGCCTCATGTCCCGTCTGTGACTCCTAGTGTGGCGACAAATGGCTCATGACTGTAGTAGACCTGAGGTCTGAATCCATCCAACTCCAAAAGTGCAGGCTCTTCTCCTCCACATCAAACTGGCACCTGGTCCAGCTCTGCCACTAGTTAGCTGTGTGACACTAGGCAGCTGACCAGACCCCTCTGTTTCCTCTGCTGTAGCAAATCACACATGTGGAAATTGCAGACCCAACCTCACAGGCACTGCTCGCTACATTGTTTCCTGCTTTACTGAGCTTTGCACATACAGCATTTGCAAATTGGAGGGTTGTAGCAACCCTGTGTGGAGCAGGTGTCGGCATGTCTTCTGACAGCGTGCTCACTCCGTGTGGCTGTGCCCCCTGTGGTCATTCTTAGTTCAAATGCATCACAATGCAAGTGCACACTTAAGAGCCTGTGTTGTTCTGTGTGTACCGTCAAATTGGATCTGACTGGTACAGGAGGAGATTGTCCCTCCTTCTCCAGCAGAGCATCTGGTGGATTTGAACAGCGCTCCTCTGGGATTGCAGTGCAGCTTCTTGCCACTAGGCCACCAGAGCTCCCTGCTTTTGTTCTTGTGCACTCTGTCAAGCTGACCTTCCAGCAGGTTTTCAGAGGCAGTAAATCACATGGGAGGAGACTGCCCATCAGTGGCTTTGGATTGGCACAACTCCTTACCACTAGGTCACTTGTTAAGTCTCGTAACGGCTCTACGAACCGTAGGTATGAATCATGGCCTACTCTACGCCATCTTTATAATTTCTGATATACTTGAGCCCATTGCTCCATACACTGTGTCAGTCCATCTCCAGGGTCTTCCTTTCTTTCACTGACCCTCCACCACCTTTCCAAGCATGACGACTAGGAAACTGTTGTTAGGTGCCGATGAGTCGAGAATGACTCATAGCAACCCTATGAACAAATGATCTGAAGCCTGTTCTATCCTGCGCCATCCTCATACATCCTGACACACAAGAGCCCGTGGTGACAGTCATTGTGTCAGTCCACCTAGTTGAGGGGCTTCTTCTCCTTCGCCGACCCACTACCTTTCCTAGTATCATGTCCCTCTCCAAGAATAGCCCCTCCCAGCAAATGCCCGGGGTTTGTGAGGCAAAGCTTCCTCAACTTTGCTTTTAAAGGGCACTCTGGCTACACCCTCTCCAAGACATATCTGTTTGTTCATTTGGCTGTCCATGGGATGTACAGTGCTCTTCAGGTCTCCACAGCTCAAAGGCATGAATCCTCCTGGCATCCTTCATTGTCCAGCTCTCAGAGGCACAGCAAGTGTGATCAGAAAGACTATGTCCTGAATTACATGCACCTTAGTCTTCAAAGTTACATCATTACTCAATAACTTGGAGAAGTCCTTAACTGCAGAGTTTCCCCGTGTAATGCATCTCCTCAGTCCCCTGCTGGTACTAAGGGTATTAATTGTGGATCCAAGTAAGATAAGATTGCCACTAGGGCTTCCTTAATAGTGTATTGTCGTTGTGTACCGTGGAGCTGGAACCAACTCACAGCTGACCCTCCCGTGGGTTTTCAGAGGCAGTAAATTGCATGGAGGGAGACTGTCTATCTCCTTATAACTAACCCACCAGCTAGCACTAGGAAACCAACAATTCACCACTCACTTCGTGTTACTTGCTTCATCATGGGGGTCTAGAAATGCACTTGCAGTATCTGTGTAGCACCTGTGACCGAACAATACCTGTATAGGTAGCTCACTGGAGGAACACCTCCTTCCATTGCCTATCCCAAGCCTCTGCCTTCTGGGCCTTTTTCCTCCAGAGCAAGACCTCAGCCCGGATCTACCCCACCTATCACACAGCCTTCGACACCTTTGATTATGTGGAAAAGTTCCTGGACCCTGGTAAGGAGGGACAAGGGGCTTCCTGGGGCTGAGGAGTGTGCACCCAGCCCTGACCTTGTCACCCTTTTCTGCAGACTTCAGCAGCCACAGGGCTGTGGCCCAGACAGCAGGGAGTGTGCTGCTCCGGTTGAGTGACAGCCTCTTCCTGCCCCTCAACGTTAGCGACTACAGCGAGACCCTCCGCACCTTCCTGCAGGCCGCCCAGCAGAACCTCGGGGCCCTGCTGGAGCAGCAGGGCATCAGCCTGGGTATGGGCCTGTCACAGCAAAGCAGGAAAGCCCTGCACCCCAGGACAGGCCTAATTGCTGACTGTTCCCCACAGGACCCCTAGTGAGCGCTGTGGAGAAGTTTGAGAAGGCAGCTGAGGTCCTAAATCAAGACATAGCGACGCTGCAAAAAGGCAGTCCCCAGTGAGCAAGGCCCTGGGTGGTCATCCTGGGATGCAGGGCTTGGGCTGGACCCCTGGCTCTAGGATGACTGGCAGGACTCCCCCTTTCCCAGCCCCCTGCAGGTCCGGATGCTCAATGACCAGCTGATGCTCTTAGAACGGACTTTCCTGAACCCACGTGCCTTCCCCGAAGAGCGTTATTACAGGTGGGCCTGTCTCAGAGTTCTTGGGAGACCAAGTGAAACAGGGCAATGACCAGCGGGCCTCAGACACGGGAGGGGAAGCTGTCAGAGGGGCTTGTCTGCAGAGCATGCTCAGCATTTTGGGGCCAAACCAGAACACAAAGCCACTGTGGATTCTGACGCATGGTGACCCTGCATCAGGCTTCTGGGGCTGAAATCTTCCGGGAGGAGGCTGTGCGGTACACGATCTCACAGGGCTTCCTTTCAAACAGTTGTAAGAACCAGAGGCTCGGGATGGGGAGGCGAATGTCCTGTCTCCCGTGAGCCAGGATAAGAACCTGCCTTGCCTCCCATCTCCACTGCTGTAACAGAATTGATTTAGGCCCAGTGCCCTGTTGAGATGTGCCATCCTCCCTGGATATGGGGAATCAGAATCTCTGGTTTAACAAGACTCCTGGTTTTTTGGAGAGCTTGTTAAACCGCAGATCCAGGTTCAGTATTTCCAGGGTGGAAATGGGAAGTGCACATTTTCAGCAGGGCCGTGGAACGGGCACAAAGCCTAGTGTCAGCTACAGGATGGGGGTATTTTGCATCTTGCTGAGCCTGAGGCACCCCTCTTTCTCGACTCCGCTGGTCCTGACTCTCCTTATTTCTCCTGGCAGCCACGTGCTCTGGGCACCCCGCACTGGAAGTGTAACCACCTTTCCTGGTCTTGCCAATGCCTTCTCGCGGGCCAACAGCACAGCACCTGGGTCTGCACCTTGGGCTGAGGTGCAGAGGCAGCTCAGCATTGTGGTGATGGCCCTGGAGGGCGCTGCTGCCACCCTGAGGCCTGTAGCTGACCTCTGACCCCAGCCAGCTCTCTCTGCCTTGCCCCTCCACACTCTCTGTCTCACTCTGCCCTCCAGCCTTCCTGAGGGAAGCTGGGGAATGGCAAAACCATGAGCTGGGATACATGATGCCAACTACTGATGCCACCCTAGATGGCCACCTAGGCTGTTGCAGACCGAGGGTCCCAAAGAATGGAATAATTTTATAATTATTAATAAAGAGACAAATAGCCAGGAATGTGATAGAGCAGAGAGCATAAAACAGGGGGCCAGCAGTTCTCCACTGAAGACCCCAAGTCAAGCTTCTCTGTATCTTTATCGAAAATTATCAGGAAGTAAATCACAAAGAGAATTAAATGCAAACGAAGCCAAGCTCTTTCTATTGAAAACCTTCTGCTTGACTCAGAAAGGAGGGGTTCACAAATGCAAGAATTTGGTTTACCCTTAACTATTAACCTTGATGCCTCAGGGTGAACTCCAGCTCAGGAAGTAACACTCCCTCTGTAGGGGGCCCCTTGCTGTCTCCTGTCTTGCAGGGAACAAACAGCTCATTTTCTAGGATCTGCCACAAGAGAAATCCTAACTTATATATCTGTAATTCCTTCAATTCCTGAACAAGGGTTTTCATATAATGTTTGGTATAAAGTTTGGCTTCCCATATTCTAGGCCACTGCTTATGAGGAAGTTGAAGCCCAAGGTGGGTAGGGTCTTGTCCAGATGGTTCTCCTGCCCCCACCCCTGCATGTCTCAACTTTCCCTGGCCTGCCCCCAAATAAATCAAGCCAAACTACCAGGCCAAATAAATAAGTCCCTTTTATTGCCTGGGAATCACGTGGGTAAAAGAATCCAAATGCTCTGTTCTAGTCCTAGCACGCAGAGGTGGGTGCCCATCACTCCAAGGACTTGGGGCTGACCATCACCTCCTCCTCCTCCTCGGCCATTACCACCTCCTCCAGGGTGCGCCCTTGAAGCTTGCTTTCCACCAACAGGTTGCAGGTCCCTGCGTGTGGCAGCCCCTCTTCCCTGTAGTGACCCTTTAGGAACACCACTGCCTCCTCCCCGTGCAGGGGCAGCCCGTGTGTCTGGCACAGGTCCTGAGCCTCCTTGGGTCCGTCAAGTGCCAGCAGGTACACCAAGAAGTCCAGGGGCAAGGTCTGGCCCTTGGGGGAGCTGAAGGCCCGAGCCAGGCGGGCCAGGCCTCCTCGGCGAGCTTGGGCCACGTGGCCATGCACAGCGCAGCTTGGCAAGTAGGGCAGAGTCCGGAGCAGGCGGAAGAGGCGGGCAGTGTTACCCTCGCGAAAGGCAGTGTCGATGGCCAGGGCCGTACGCAGGGCTGGGTAGGCACGCAGGGCAGCCGGCAGCTGCAGAACCTCTTGGAGGGCTTTCATGGAGCCTGGGAGGGCAAAAGACAGCACTAGAGTTACTCCTGCCGCTGTCAAATCCTCAGTCGCGACCACGCCCACTTCACAGACCACGCCCTTCCCTCGTCCCTTGCTCACCAATCCGGTGCCTCCTCAGCCATCTCTTTAAGGAGCTCCTTCCAGCTAACTACATCCTCTGACCATGAAGAAGTGGGCAGTGCTTACAGATACCAGGCTGAGGCAGTCCTAAAGCTGGTATATAGTGGCCCTCACCTCCCAAATGTGTTACGTGCGATAATGGTTACCCATGGTGGGCAGTGTTTGGTGGCGCTCCCCGATTACAACAAGCTCGGAAGCAGGAGTGGCATCCACTTCCGAAATAGCTTGCCTCCAGAAACGCTTTGAACGCTTGGAGAAAGGATGAAAGTTTTACAAGTGTCCAGGTCTCTCGTTCATAGGGTCGCTATGAGTCGCCTACGACTCGAAGGCACTTAACAACAACACCTCCCAAATCCAAGCTTCTAAACTCGCCCAGACCCCCATACACCTGTGAGCTGGTGCCACCAGGCCTTGCCCTGTCCACCTGAAAAGCCATTTGCTTCCGGGACGTTGCTTTCCTTTCAAAACTGTCATGGACCTTGGGCAATGACTTTAACCCAAGTTCTTGACTCATCAGTGGGCTAAGAAGCCAGGGGCATTTTAGTACAATTAGAAGGAGGTGAATGAGAATGTACCACTACCACGCAGCTGCTTATGTATCTGGAAACTTCCTAGACACGTTAACGTATCTAGAAACTACATATATATTGCATCTAAGGTCACACGTATCAAGTAGGTCCTCGATAGCTATGCAACTGTGACTGGGAGTAGACATTCTATTCTTTTTTTATTTTTTAATTTTTTAAAATTTTTATTATTTGTGTGTGTACCGTCAAATCAGATTTGACTGGTACAGGAGGAGATGGTTCCTCCTTCTCCAGCAAAGCATCTGGTGGATTTTAGACATTCTATTCTATAGAGGTTGAAAACCATCATGGGGCCAACGTCCCCATTCCCAATACCGCCCCCTCCACTTCTCTGACAACACCGAGACCCTGGACAGAGGCAGGTCCGAGGATCTTACGACAACACACATTCTTCAGGTACCTCTGATTCCCCCAGGAGCTCATGCTACTTCTCCCTCCTCCCAGCACCAATGTCCACCGCTTGACTCACCCAGGTTATAGAGCAGAAAGAGGCCCTGGAAGGAGGCCTGGCGGGGGTGCGGGACGGTGCCTCGCGCGTAGCAGCGCCGCAGCGATCCGAAGCCCTCCTGCACCTGAGCATGCAGCAGCGCGGGGTCCACGGGCCCGCGCCCCGGGTCGGGTCCGAGCCGGGCCACCACGGCCAGCAGCGTGGCCAGGGCCGCCTCCAGCACCACGGCCGCCTCGGCGTCGCCCGCGCTCTGCAAGGTCAGGTCCAGGCGCACGGCGCGCAGCCGGTCGGCCACGAAGCTGGCCACCTCGGCGCGGGACGCGTCGGTGCGCCCGGCCACCTCGCCGGCCAGGTAGCGCACGACGCCCAGCAGCACGCGCGGCGGCCGCAGCTGGCTCGGCGGGGGCGGGGGCTTGCCTGCGGCCGGCCGGCTGTACTCCTTCACGGCGCGCTGCGGGTCAGCCCGGGGCTGGTCCCTGCGGTTCCCCGGCGCCACCTCGAAGCGGTGCAGGCGGCGTTCCTTTTCGCGCTGGGCGCGCTCGGCGGCCGGGCACATATCCGGGCATGTGCCCACCGGCAGCTCGCAGTCGGGCATGGGTGGGCTGCGGGGACAGAGTCGGCGCTCAGCATTCCGGGGCCCCATCCGGTCGACTTGGGGAGTCCACGCCAGGCCGGCAGAGAAGCGGAGCAGTCGGGGGAAGCAGGACAGGCGGCGCTCGGCAGGGTCCGCCTCCCACCCTGGCAGCCCCCCTGCCGCCCGCTCACTGCCGTCTTCTCACCGGTTCCCCGATTCAACAGTTCAGAAACAGCTTCCCAGGGTGCACTGCGCTGTAGTCCTGAGCCGCTAAGGCTCTCCGCAAGCCCCGCGCGACGCCTGGAGATGTTCGTGTTTCCAACCAGTATAAGCCACCACCCCCACAATGCATCAGTTTGCGCTTTCTCCTGCAACCAATCGCTGCCTAGTTGAGGCGGGGCCCTGCCAGGACGTGGGCGGGGCCCTGCCAGGACGTGGGCGGGGCCCTGCCAGGACGTGGGCGGGGCCCTGCCAGGACGTGGGCGGGGCCCTGCCAGGACGTGGGCGGGGCCCTGCCAGGACGTGGGCGGGGCCCTGCCAGGACGTGGGCGGGGCCCTGGCAGGACGTGGGCGAGACAGCATCCTTCAGCTCCTTCAATGAACACTTGGTCAAGGATCTTCCAGATGAATGGTCTCACCTCTGGTTCCTCTTCATCATTCCTGTCCCCTAAATCGCTTTGCTGTCAGTCTCACTAGATCCTTGGGTAGTACAGTCTGCACCTGTCCACCGAACTAAATAACCGGTTAGTAGTTTTGAGTCAGGAAATCAAAAAGCGTATCGCAATGGGAAAGTCAGCTGTTAGGGACCTCTCTAAAGTACTCAGGAGCAACGGTGTCTCTCTGGAGACTAAGGTGCGCCTGATACAGGCCATGGTCTTTGCAATCGCTTGTTATGCATCAGAGAGTTGTACAATGACTAGGGAGGACAGAAGGAGAGTTGATGCCTTTGAGCTGTGGTGCTGGAGAAGAGTACTGAGTACCATGGACTGCCAAGAAAACAAATATATTCATCCTAGAGAGGGTTAAACTAAGCTACTCCTTGGAGGCAAGGATTCTGGGGCTTCGTCTGACATACTTTGGACATGTTGCCAGGAGGGACGGGTCCTTGGAGAGGGACATCATGCTTGGGAGGGTGTAGGGACAGCGCAGGAGGGGAAAACCCTCTATGAGATGGATTGATTCGGTGACTGGGGTAATCGGAATGGGTGTGTCGGAGGCAGTGCGGTTGGCGCAGGATAGCGCAGGGTTTAGGGCTGTTGTACATAGGGTCGCTATGAGTCGCAAGCGACTCAACGGCACATAACAACAACAAGTTTTGAGCTCACCTAGCAGTGATGCAGAAAAAAGGCCTGCCTGGCTGCAGTCACAAAATTAAAAGGTGTAATGTGTTGTGCAACACATCTTTTCACTTCCTAGCTGCTGGTGCCAAATGTGTTGACTGTGGATCCAAGCAAACCAAAACTGAACAATCTCAATCTCTTCACCATCCATTATGCTGCTGCCAATCGGCCCGGTGGTGAGAATCTTTGTTTTCTTGATATTGGGTCTCAATCCATACTGAAGACTGCAGTCCCTGACCTTCCATAGCAAGTGCTTTAGGTCCTCCTCAGTTTCAGCAAGCAGGGCTGTGTCATCTGCATAACACACATTGTTGATGATTCTTGCTCCAATCGTGATGCCACATTTCTCCTCATAGAGCCCAGCCTCCCCGTTAGAGACCTCTCTAAAGTGCTTAAGTGCAAAGATGTCAGTCTGGAGACTAAGGTGCTCCTGATACAGCCCATGGTTTTTGCAATCACTTGTTATGTAGCAAAGAGCTGGGCAATGACTAGGGAGGACAGAAGGAGAACTGATGCCTTTCAGCTGTGGTGTTGAAGAAGAGTCTGGAATATACCATGGACTGCTAGGAAAACAAACAGATTCATCCTAGAGAGAGTGAAGCCAGGATACTCCTTGGAGGCAAGGATTCTGAAACTTCGTCTGACATACTTTGGACATGTTGCGAGGAGGGACCAGTCCTTGGAGAGGGACATCATGCTTGGGAGGGTGGAAGGACAGCACAGCAGAGGAAGACCCTCGATGAGATGGATTGATTCAGTGAATGGGGTAATGGGGGTAGGTGTGTCAGAGATGGTGAGATTGGCACAGGATAGGGCAGAGTTTAGGGCTGCTGTACATAGGGTCGCTATAAGTCACAGGCGATTCGATGGCACATAACTACAACAACGTTTTGTGCAAATCTGCTGCAAAAGATCTCTTTAATATGTTAGGAAGCAGAGGTGTTACTTTGAGGACTAAGGGGTGCTTGTGTCAAGCTTGGGAAAGCTGGACAATGAATAAAAAAGACCACAGGATAATTGATGCCTTTGAATTAAGGCATTGGTGAAGAGTACTGACTATACCATGGAATGTCAGAGAATGAAATAAACCTGTATTGTAGTCACAGCCTTGGAAACCAGGATGGCAAGACTCTGTCTTACGTATGTTGGACATGCTAGTAGGAGGGATCAGTCCCTGGAGAAGGACTTTCATGCTTTGTAGGTAGAAAGTCATCCAAAAGGAAGATGACCCTCGATGAGACAGACTAACACACTGGCTGGTGCAACAGTGGGCTCAAGCCTGACAACTGTGAGGATGGGACTGGTCTGGGCAGCTTTCGTTCAGCAAAATCTTGCATTGCCTTCAAGTCAGACATATTCATGGCTGACTGTCCAGCTGGCTTTCGTGGCCGTAAACCACATGAAGAGGAGATTGCCCACGTCTCTCCCAAGGAGTCGCGGGTGGCTTGGAACCGCCAGAGAGGCACAGCCTTTGGGCTCACAGTGTGACTCTCCATGGGCTACGGAAACAGAGCTCCTTTTGCTGCAGCACAGGGTCGTTGGCAACAGCATGAGTCAGAACTGGTCTGAAGGCACCCAACAACAATCTGCTTTAGGGAAACCACAGCCAAGAGAGGCGTGTGGTGTCCGTCTGCTCTGTAACCCACGGAATCACCATGAGTCAGACTGGCCTGCGTGATGGTGGGCTTGGCTGTAGGCTGGTCAGTTTCACTGCCCCTTCCACTCTTCCTGGGTGACTACTCGCCCCATTCTCCAGATCAGGAGTCAGGCTTGCGAGGTCAACATTCCCTGTCACAGCTCCGCAACTGAACTCTGCTGGTGTATGACGAGAGTAGCAATTGGCAACACACCAAAAAAATGCTCAGTGGACATGCACATTTCAAGCCATTTTCACCTGTCAGAAAACAGGATTCTTCTTGAGTTTTCAACAATTAAAAAATATAAAAAGAATTTTTGGCCGTACCAAAAGAAAAAAAGGGTGATGACCTGATTTGGCCTCAGACCGTGCTCTGAAGACCCAGTTCTAGATGGGCAAAGAGATAATTTATCAACCAAACAGCTCCTTTCTCATAAACACACAGGTTGGGATCAGAAGTGTGAAGCCCTGATTTCAAGGTGGCAGATGCAGTCAGGGAATGAGAATGAATGCTTTTTCTTTCTTGGTCCAGTTACATAAATAGCCCCTGGGGTTACAAGCCCAGGGGAGAGGGCTTGGTCCTGGAGCAGGGACAGGCCCAGGGTCAGGAAGAGAAGGTGGCTGGCAGTGCTGGAGCTACAGTCCTGGGAAGGGTCCATGGCCTCTCACGGCGGCAGCTGGGACAGGTGCAGGCGAAAGATCTCCTCTGCCCGCTTCAGGTACTCAGCTGCCTTTTTCTTCACACCTTCCCGGCGGGCAGGAGATGGGTCACCTGTGGGGAAAGAGTGGCTCAGCCCAAGTACTGGACCCAGGTCTGGCCCTTTGAATTCCACAATGCAGCATCGCTAGACTCTTCCCTCCCTGGGTGTTTGTGTCTATTCTTTCCATTTCATACGAGAAAACTGAGACCTCATGGAGAAATATACTTCCCATGTCACCCAGCTAGTCAGTGAAGAGCAAGGGCTCTTGATCCCTGGGTCCCTTACTGCACTGGGTTGACACCCTGTCACTAGAGACACTAGAAACCCACTCACCAGAGACGCCCTGGAGCAGGATATGCACGCCATCTCTGTAGCCCTGGAGTGCGGCAGGATAGGCACCTGCCTTCTCGTTCTCCAGGGCCTGGGTGATGAGCGCCGTGGCCTGGCTCAGATAGGCAGGGGAGGACCCTCCTTCCTCATCCGTTTCCTCCTCCTGCCCTCCTGGCTCCCAGGGGTCCTGGTCCTGGTCCAGTCTCCTGGGCTCTACTTCTATCGTTGCCAGCTCACTTACGTGGGTGGGGCTGGGACCGGCATCATCTGTAAGCAGGTATGGAGGTCTCAGGCCACACTGGCCCTCGCCCTGCTGGAACCCGCTGCCCACTCCCAGACCCTTCTTGCCCAGCAGGATAACAACCCGAGGTCAGCCACCCCAGTAGAGGGGACAGTGTCTGGAGAATCCAGAAGCTGGCTGTGTATGATAAACTTTTATCATTGTTAACTACCGTCGGAGGCTAGCCAGGCCTTTTCTTCCGCAGAACCTCTGTGGTTCCACCTGGCAGCCTTTCAGTTAGCCAATCATAAATTATCACCCAGGCTCCATAGGGCAGACTGGCCACGATCTGCCTGTTTGAGGTGTTCCCATGCTTTTGAGAAGACAGCTTGACCTTCCTAATTCTGTCTCTAGGTACGCATTACCACACTGTCTGTCACGCACCCTTTTCCCCCTGGAACTAGAATGTCCCTGCAAAGTTTAACCCTAGGCTGGAGTAGGAGTGCTCCAGACTTAAAAGGCGGGCTTCTGAGAGTCTCAGGGATTTTCTTGTGGCCTCTGAATGGTAACTGAGGCCCGAAATGTTTAGATAGTGGGTGACAGGAACCCCGAGGATGGACACATACTTCCCATTCACCTCCACCCACCTCTTGTGCACCTGTCCCCTTCAACCCCTCCATCCCACCACTCATTGGGGAGGCACCTGGGGAAGGGGTGCCTGGTTCAAGTTCTCCAGGCCAAAGTTGCGGTGTTCCTGCAGGGCCTCCTGGCTGAGAGGGCATCTTTCTCTGATCTGTACCGACATCCTTTCAGCTTCTCCCCAAGGTCCTACTTCCCGTCTCTCCACTGTCCCAGCTACTTACCTTCTTTGGAGAAAGGGTCAAAGAGGGCCAGTTCAGCTTCAGTGAGTGGGACTTGGGCAGGGGACCCGCTGGCATCCTCCGTGGCCCCACAGGTAAAGAGGAGGTCCAGGGCATCCTGGGCAGGGCTGGATGGTGGGGGGTCGGCTGAGGAACAGATCAACAGGGACATGATCAGATGGACTTAATATTTCTCCCCTTTCCAAAAGGTAGGATGGTGCTTTCATGAAGTCCTTACAGCAACCAAGGGGGTCTGGACTCATTTTACAGATGAAGAAACTATAGTCCAGAAAAGGAAAGGACTTTCCCAGGGTGACCCAGTGGATTGGCAGCCTTTTACCAAGGTGATGGACAGGAGGAAGAGCAGACGCCAGCCCTGGCTCCCTCCACCCCATGCACCTGGCACCTCCAACTCCTCCAGGCCCCTCCTTTCAGGGGGCAGGGGCTGCAGCAGCTGGACCTCCTCAGGGTGAGGCCTGGGCTCTTCAGGGGGTGGCGTGGGGATCAGAGGCGGTGGCAGGACATGCAAGTCCCTGGGCACCTCTGAGAGCCGCGTCACCTCCCCGCCCTGTAGGGGAGAAAGGCATGGTGGGCATGGTGGGGGTCACAGTGCAGCCGGTGGGCAGCGTCCCAGGCCCAGGAGGCGGGGGTGCACGTACCCGGAAGAACTCCTTCAGCTGCGGGCTGTTGTTGAGAGCGGGGATGTGCACCGTGAAGCGTAGCAGGTCCTCCGCTCCTTTCCTCCGCTCCTCAATCACAGAGGCCTCAAATCGGCCTGCAGCCCAGACAGTAAGGGGCAGGGGGGCAGGGGCAGGGCAGGGAGGGGACCCTCAGTGAGCCTCCCGTCTTTGAGCACCAGCGTCCTCTGAGACAGCCTGAAGCCCATTCAAAGGTGCTCCTGGTCCCAAGGGTGAAGGCAGCCCCGATCACAGTGGCTGATGCCACCCGGCTCTGCTTCTCCCAGAGGTTTACTGAGCACCTACTATGTTTTGCTGTGGGTTATATTCTAGGGTGAAAAAGAGAGGGCAAAGCCCCTGCACTGAGGGACACTACCTTCCAGACAGGGAGGCCCACAGAAGAGAAATCATTTCAGATGACTTGGATGGAAAGGGGAGAGAAGGCCACACAGTAAGTAGTGCCTGCTTTTCTTTTTAATTTTTTTTTTATTATTATTTTTGTGTGAGTGTACCGTCAAATCAGATCTGACTGGTACAGGAGGAGATTGTCCCTCCTTCCCCGGCAGAGCACCTGGTGGATTCGAACCGTCTTTTTTAATTTTTTTAACACTTTCTCTACTCTGCTCTAGCGAGGTTCTCCTAAGGCTGGCCTAGGTGACTGTGGATGGAGGTCCACCTGTATGGCATGGTCTAACAAATACAGTCAAGCCTGTGGAAGCTGGGACCTGTGTAAGGGGCGTAATAAAGTGGAGAAAGAATAAGTTTAAAAAAAAAGACTAGAAAGAAGGAATTGGCAAACTATTTCTAAAAATATTGCCCAGTGAAAAAGTTCCACTCTGGGTCTGATGCAGCACTGGAAGGTGGACCCCTCAAGTCGGAAGGTGAACCCCTCAAGTCAGAAGGTGGACCCCTCAAGTCGGAAGGTGGACCCCTCAAGTC